TTGTCTTTATTACAAATATATTTTTATTTATGTCTGAAATTATATATATATATATATATATTTATATGTATATTTATATATTATACATATATTATATATATATATAAATATTTCAATAGTTAAATGTTTTTTTACATATAGTTAAAATTTTTTTTAATTTTTTTAAACAACATCTAAAATATTATTACAGTTAGATTTACGTTAAGAATATTCGAACACAGTGGCGTTCCATATCATGTGACGTCCGCATCTCACGATGGACGCTACTTGTAAACAAACAGTTATTTCTGAAGAAATATCAAATATAAATAAATACTTTCATAAAAAACATTATTATTTTTTTTAATTTGCAACTTTTTTCTATATATATATATATATATATATATATATACAGTTATATATATATTTATATATTGTATACATATATATATATATATATATATATATATATATATATATATATAAACGGAACATTTACTTAAATAAAATTGTATCTATAAAAATAATGTATAAACAGAAAATATATTAAATAATTGTCGGACTTAATCCATTTCATTACATGTTGTTATCATTTACATAAGATATGTTTTGTAAACAGATATTAATCAAGAAAAATTGTCGAAGATTGTGTGATTATAAACAGTAATTCAGACTTTGCTAACCAAATGCTTCTCTGTAGCTAAATGGTACAGCACGTCAGGTCAATTGACAGTTTCTGCATAGAAATACTGGTTCAATTCCTGCCAGAGAACAAAATTTCTTGAACATTTTATTAAAAACAGAGCATTTACTTAAATAAAATTGTATCTATAAAAATAACATATAAACAGAAAATATATTAAATAACTAGGACTTAATCCATTTCATTATATATATATATATATGTGTGTGTGTGTTTGTGTGCATGTACATGTGTGTGTGTGTGTGTGTGTACAAATTTCAAACTATATCTGTAAAAGGACAATATGAATAAAGACAAAACAAAAACTTATCTTAGTCAATGCATTTCAGCCTCTGAGGGACTTTTCAAGAATTGATAAAGTCCTTCAGAGAATGAAAGTGTCAGCTAAGATAAGTTTTCTTTTTTCTTTATTCACACACACACATATATGTATTATATATATAGTATATTCATATATAGTATATTATATGTATAGTACATGCATATGTTTAGAACTTGGGTGTTAGTGATGATATCACTCCAGTAGCCTTTTAGAATGGTGAAAGAGTGATGCTGATGTAATTACTTGAGTAGGTAGTATATGACACACGATTTGGTATTATATAGGAGTGTGTGCAGCATGATGGCTTTGTTTATATAAGCAGTATATATATATATTTCATATCAGTAGGTATGAGTTTATTTATATGCTTTTGTTTGTACACACATGTAAGTATGTGTATGTATAAATGAATATCTGCATTACTCTTAAACTGTGTATCTTTGTTTTTATTCTTTACAGAATAAACGTATATATCAATGTACACAAACTTTCAGTTTTTGTGTGTATAACTGTGAATTTGTTTAATGTATGTATGCATGTATCAGTCTGTATGCATATGTACAACTTTATGTATGTCTGTATAAACTTATTAATATCAGCACAATGCATGCATTTACCTACCAAGGCTATACTGAAGAAAAGTGTGCACATGTGTAAAATTGCATTTATAGTTTACAGCTACCAATAAACTAATGTGCAGCATGGGTAACATGTGGAAGTTTTTAGATTTTCACTCTTGAATTATTATCTTTTAAACTACTAAGTCTTGTTTTATTTTCTTTGCTTAGATACACTATGTCAGATTTTATTATGCAAGTTAATGTTAATTGATATTAACAAACCAATACTTGTAAAATTTTCAGGATATACTTATATTTGTATGATAAATATCTCAGCTTATTTTGTTAACAATAAAAATGAGGCTATTAATCTAAATGTAAATATTGATAATTCTTCATCACAGAAATTCAGACATAAACAAAACCTATGTCTACCTTTCTATTGTTTATTAAAATAACAGTATTAAATAACCCGGCAAAGGTTAATACACTGTAAAACAAACCAAACTAAAACCAAACACCTAAAAAAGAAGGTTTCTAAATTAATGGAATAGTAGCCAGTGTCTCTAGAATTAGAAATTCAATAGAAAAACTGTAGCTCATCATTAAAAAAAAAGATGCAAATAAGATTGAAAAATAATATTCAAGTAAAGAACATCACTCTAGGATGCAATAAAAACTGTCACATGTAATGTTAATGTTGAAACAGGATAAAAGTTAACAAAATCAGTTGTTGAAAGGCAGATGAAGATTATAGAATGACAAGAAATCTATATTAATATATAAACTAATAAAATAATAATTTATTCAGCTATATGGGATATTGTGTTACTCAAATATATTGTATCTTTTGTATTTATTTATAAATACAAAATTATGTTGCACTTAGTTTATTTGCATAATAAATGCTAAGAAACCACAAGGAAGTTATTAGCAATAGTTTTAATAAGGATAGATTTTATAAACCAAAATTCACATAACACATTGCTCATATCCTGGAGATTTTATCATTAATTGGTTAATAACAATTTTGTGAAAATATGTGTTTGCATAATAAAATCTGACATTTTTAATAAAATCTGACATAATGAACCTTTGAAAATAAATTTTTCGTTGATAATATATAAAGCTGAATCTTATTCTAACTATTATGACTTTTTATCAATAATCTAAACTAAATTTAAATAATTGAAGATTAACTAAGGCTGACCTTGAAATGAAAAAGAAACAAATTCTATAAGTATGACTTGATATGCTTATCATTTTCTTATCAATTGCATAGGTTTTTTCAGTATTAAAGAGAAAATTATATTAAACATTACCTGTTTATTATTTATTTACATAGATTAATTACAACCTTTTGATTGTAATAATATTTGTTTCTGTTTTTTAATGGTTATTTATTCATAACCCAATAAATAAATTAAAAAATTAAAATATATATTCCATAAATATTTCATTATAATTTACATCTATAAATAATTTACAATTTGAATACAGAAAGGCCAAAAAATAAATTAATAATGCATTTTGAGATCAATGAGTTGATTTTGAAATTATTCTGATTTATAAATAAAATATGTAAAGTTATTTTAAAATATTTCAAAGGCAAGGAAAAGAAACAGAGAATATGTAAGAATTCATTTTTGCTAAGTGTTTAACAATTGAGTGAAAAAAAGAAGTTTTCTTTCCTGGTCTGCAAATAGTTGAAAATAGCTAAGCATTATGCTTCTGCCAAGAGTTTATAGAATGTTCAAATCCTTCCTTAGGTTTCTTTTCAATTTATTTAAGATCTTGATCTATAGATGAACATGATACATTGTGTCTTTCTGATAAACATGGGAATCCACTTGATGTGGTGGAGAGAAACAGGTCATTTAACCCCCAGTTACTCTTGATCAAGCCTTCTTATTGAAAACAAGTTGAAGTTTGATAAAGTTCAGGATGAAATGCTTCTCATGTAATCAAGTTGCAAGTGAAATATATGTCTTGAAAGCAAAAAAACTTTTACAAAGTTTTATACAACTGTTATTCTCTGCTATATTCAAAAAGAGTCAATTCAAGGAGAATAACTCTCATTCCCCAGCTACATCTATTTATGCAGCATTCTTCCAACTCAACAAAATTGCACAGAAGCAAATGATATAAAATAATACCTTAGATGAGGGTAATAAAAAATAAAGTAATGATGATTTGTATAGACAATTTTCTTTTCTATATCCTATGTCACTTCAAGACATTGGCGATCATGGCTCTTTACAGCTTCTTATCCTATTTTGTTCATCACAATCTTTTTTTTCCTTTTTATCATCTTTCCCCTGCTACTTCTGCCATCTATTTACACAAGCTCACTAGGTAGATTATCTCTGCCTTCCTAAAGTAATAATTATCATACAATTAATCAATATGTTGGTATCATTAATTAGCTATACAAAAATAATAGTACAATTTGAGGATCTCAACTATTCCTAGAGGAACGACAAACTCCTCCACTGAAAAAAAAGCTTACCCTTCCTCTGCCTGAATGTTAATCTACAAAAATGATTGTCCCAAAATATTATTAATCCTATTTTTACGTGTGAACCAGTCAATTTAAGTAATGCCTACATTTTTATACTGCAACAATAGAAAGACCAAATTATCCTTAAGTTTAAATAAACTGCTCAAAATAAGTTTTTAACATTTATCTATATTTCTAAAATGAGGTATTGTAAGTATTTAGACTATTTACATTGTTCAAACTGTTGTCCTTATCTTTATTACCCTATGCACAATGCATTGGCTATTGTACACATTTGCCTTCTTCAGGTGATATTCTTGAAATTTTGAACTGATCCCTTTATTTAGTTCATGGGGGTAGATTATTCTAATTCTATGTGCCATGTCTTTGGATATCTCAGTTTCAGGTAATTCTCCTTGATAAATCAACTCTTCAAGTTTTTGTTCCCTCTACTTTAGACAGGTATTAAATTTACAACTCTTTCAGTCAAGTCCCCAAGGAGACATAGCTTAGTGAATAAAAGTGGCAGTTGATTGATCCAAAATTGACTTGACCCAAAGAGTTCGATATATGGCCACAGGAGAGGAAACAAAAACTTGACTTGTCTGTCAATAATTCCATAACATCTGTCTGTCAATACAAATCAGGAAGACTGCTAAGACTTAATTTTTTTTCTCCAGAAAATTATGGCTTAAAATTATAAAGTTGCCCAACCTAATATTAAAGTTTACATCCTATTTATTTTATGCTACATGTTCTATCCTTCATGTTCTAATCCTTCATGTTTTAGCCTACATGTTTTTGTTATTTGATATCTGTTTTTTCTTTTGATAATTTTGTATATTTTTATACTTTGCAATTATTTTGTGTTTGTTATTAAGCACTACTTTGATGATTTGTTTTCGTTCTGATTTAAACTCACTCATTCTATTGTAGGGGGCCGGCTGCACTGCGCTGGTTGTTGCTGTCATAGCACGAAAATTAGAATTAAGTAGGGCAGAAAAGCATGTACACAACTTCATGATGGACACACAACTCACAAAACGGGTAAGAAAAACTTGTTTCCTACTGCTAGTAATGCTTTTGTTTGTCTGTTCATTGCAGGATGTGTGACTAGTGTAGCAATTAAAACACAGAAAATGAAATCAGAGAGCTGAGTTCAAATTCTGTCCTTGTCTGTTGCATTCACTTTAGAATTAATGCTTTTGGGAAAGGTATGAATCTCTCTTTTCTCCCAGCTATGGGTTAAATAGCAGGATAGACTGGAAACTCTAGCCCCTTGGTTGCAGCTAGTCTAGGTTAAAGACTAGGAATTCAATACTTTAAAGACAATAACTGGAAACTATTCTACAATCTATGATCCACAATGATGATGATATTTTATGATTGTAAAAATAAGCTTGCCATCAGTGGTGATAGAAAATAAGGACGATTCATCATCTCTGAAATAAAAATTTAAAAATTCATCATCCTGAAAACAACCTTGCCACCATTGATGAAAGAGGAGAAAGATATTTCATCATTCTAAAATCTGATTATAAAAACAACCCTTCCAGCACCAACAAAGGGAGTTATTAGAATAAGGTCAGTAGAGTAGCAAGGCCAGTTGCATTAGTAAAAAGGAAAATCAAAAATTGACAATCCCAAACATTATCCTCACCAACGAAATTCTCAGAACAAAAACAAGTAAGCACAAACTTTTAAAGACACAAAATAGACAGTAACACTGAGAACATTTTAACACACACCATACCAATATCTGTAATTCACATCACAAAAAGAAAACTATAAATTCTTATTAATGTCAACACGTGTCTTTAATATTATTGTTTATGTTATTGCTGTACATTTTAATACATTTTGTTTTCAATATAAAAAAGAGGAAAGGATTCCTCCTACACTACAAATACATATAGCAATGGCATAATTACTTTAACTACCTCAACAACCATGAAACCCCACCCTGTTACACTCAACAAATAACATCACATCGAGATAACTACTGCAACAACCCAATTTATCAACACCATTATATATCTTTCCTAAGAAATTAAGGTAATGCAGAGATATAGTTGCTCTTGTGGGAATAAATGTGAATAAAGAGCTGTAAGTAACTTTAGTATCTGTTCCATTTTCTTTGCTGAGTTTCCATCATATGAAATAAAATACAAGTTTGAAATACATATGTTTGTGTTTTCATGCAGTTTATGGCCTGGCAATAAGGTTAGCCAAATCTTGGGGATTCCAATTTTGCAGTGGCACTTCCTCTATGGGAATTCTGAGAATTCTGACACCTTATTGAAACTGGTTACAAGAACTGGGCAATTTAGTTTACTATTGTGGTGAGTAAGTAAACACATGATCAGTATCTCATATATGTACAATCTGTATAGGATCAAAATGTTGCTCCCTGGCCTTGTTCACCTGTATGCAATGTGTGTGTGTATATATATATATATATATATATGTGTGTGTGTGTGTGTGTGTGTGTGTGTGTGTGTGTGTGGAGACATGTTGGAGTAATGGATAGTGGCACAGATTAAGGAATCAGAGAGCTGACTTTGAATTCCAGTCAATCATTTCATTCATTTACATGATAAATCCATCTCTTTTCCCCTCAGCTATAGGTAAATAGCAGGACAGACTGGGTTCTCTAGTCTTTGGTGGCAACTGAACTAGGAGAAGGACAACTGTGAATTCAAAACCAGACAAGAGCCCTTTAGGGACCTTGTGGCACACTGTGCACCAGTTCTCTGTATTTGACATTTCCAAAAAAGTGAGGTCAGTTCTGCACAAATTATAATCAAATCATATGTGCAGACAGTCTGGCTGTTTTGGTTCTAAGAATTGAGCTGCTGGGTCCCTATATATTATAAATAAGATAGACTTATATATTTTTTCTTCAGCTTAGGTCATTTGCAGTGGTGTGCAGTAATATGAATCTATTTTCAGGAGGTATGATGAAATTTGTTTGTCCTAGAAAAATATTGTGTCATCCATGATTGCATCAGATTTTTATCACACCCAGACACTATTGTCTTGACTGTCAATTAGTTGTTCTATGGCCATTGGCTGCAATGAACATTACTCCAAGGAAGCGTACAAAAATTCTAACACTGCACGAACACAAGCTTTACTAGTGAGCAAATCAAAGTACTATAGACTGGCCCAGAAACTCACTTGATTTAAATCCAATCAAGAATCTGTAGTCAATCTGCAAGGAATAATTTTGTGGAATAGTCATACAAAGTACTAACATGTACACTGGGTTATGTTTCATTGGAAAAAAACAAAAATATGTAAATAATAATGGAATTATCTATTTTGTTTCAATTAATTTGCAAAAGAGTGTGGTGTGTGGGTGTGTGTATATATATATATATATATATATATATATATATATATATATATATATATATATATATATATAAAGGCTACACCCATCTGGTAGCTGCTGAATCAGTGTTGCAGATGCCTACTAAGGCACATTTTGTTTAACATCCACAGAGGCCAACTGTGGTTTATACTGAAACTATGCTAAGCTGACATAATTACAGCACAACCTTTGACAGCCTCCAAATAGTTCAGTTTGCCCAATGGCGATCAGAAGTCTTCGATTAAAACCATGTTCTGGTTTTCAAGCAATTCCCAAAGGTGCTGCACATTGGGACCACGTCCTCAATACTGATAACATCAAGAACTCACCTTCCTGGCAAATCTTCTCTGCTGAAATTTGAACCCAGGTCTCATAGTCATAAAGCAAACATTTTAACCACTATATATGCTCATATACATACATACATACATACATACATACATATATATATATATATATATATATATATATATATATATAGAGAGAGAGAGAGAGAGAGAGAGAGAGCATAACAAAATATATCCAAACTTTGGACAATTTTTGTCTTTAATTTCTCCTGAAATTAAAGCAACTATATGAAGTTTAGAACAGCTCACGATCAAACATAATAGACATTCATTGTCTGTTAGACTTAATAATGTATGTTTGAACATATATATACACACACACACACACACACATATATATATATATATATATATATATATATATATATATATATGAATTGGGATAGAGCATATAATATGGATTGTAATCTGACAGAGTGATTGGATAAGGAACAAATAGGAAACATTTATAAATCTAACATGTTTCATGAAATACTGAAAAATGGAGGAGAAAAAAATTCCGGTATTTTAAATTTTTGTTTTTCATTGGCTATGCAGACTTCACTTGCATCTGTCTTGCCAAACAGTGTCCATGCATATAATTCATATGTGTATATGTATCATATTATCTATAAATGTATGTCAAATTCACTTTATTATATCACTAACTTTTATCAAATCCATACTTAGAAATTTTGGACAGATCTATCTGCTACTACAACCCATATTACTTAAATTCTTTCACCCTCACACAAAACATCCCCAAATCAAAATGTGGACGACCATCAAACATGAATAAAATACTCTTATGAGAATTATGATACACATGAATTATTCACATGAACACTGTTTGACAAGACAGATGTACATGAAGTCTGCTTACCAATTAAAAAATAAACACAAAAATTAAAAATACCATAATTTTCTTTTTCTCTTTCATATTTCATTCTCTGGTGAAGCTTTAATAAAAGCAAAACATGTTAGATTTATAAATGTTTCCTAATTATTCCTTATCCTATCATATATATATATATATATATATATATATATATATATATATATATATATATAATGTTAATAACTATACCTGGGAAAAAAATTGGCAACAAAATATATTAGTCAATATACGACTCAGAGTTTCACAAGTTCTTGCAATCTTCAGGTGCAAATATAATCTGACCATTATATAGTTCGCACTCTCAAAGTGATGATTTGAAATTGTTACTATCAACATTGGATATTATGCATATTCACTAATATGTACTTATAGCTGTTTCACAACATTGAGCACTGCATTTATAACACCTGAGGAAGTAATATATTTATACGTATGTCCACTTATATGTGCATGTATATATATATATATATATATATATATATATATGTGTGCATAAATATATATAGAGAGATAGATATAGATACATGCATATATATATATATGTGTGTGTGTGTGTGTGTGTGTGTGTGTGTGTAGAGGTTTAGGCACAATGAAAAAGAAAATAGACACTCTTCAAATATGGCTCTGCAAATTTGAATAAATTTTATTATTGAGTACTTGTTTTCTTTCAAATTGAAAGACACGAATTACAAAAAATCTCTGTGAGAGAAATTCACACAAAAATAATTTTGTTTGTCTTTCTTTACAATACAACTAAATCAATTGCATTAGTATGATAGAAGAAACAGAATGTGTCTACATAAAGAGGGTGCCACATACTTACATTGTTTTATGAATGTGTGTAATTTTCTAGTAGCAGCATGCCAGCAGGTGTAGAAATCTGTGTTAATGCTACTGCTAAAATCTGTGTTAACAATAACTTGATTCATATGTTTTAAAGGTGTTTAATTTAACATCACTAGGTTTTGTAATAAAATATAATCAAATAAGTATGCAAAAGGTTTTGAGAAATCAGCTTGTCCACAACAATGACCAACCTAGCCTAGTCAAAGATTTGCCAAAAAACAGAAAAGTAACTTAATGTTATGAATATTTATAAGAAATATTTAGGCTCCAGAAATCTAAAAGTTAGGAAGAAAATATTGTTGATCATTTTCTTGAGTGATCCTACACATTTTGTAGCAGACAATAAACATAGTCACCCAAAAATTTCAATGGTATCAGCACTTTGTAATAACATTGCTGATAGATTAACATATATGAATATGGAAATTCAAATTGGAGCTGATTTTGTGTGCAAAAATGAGTTAATTTTGAGTTTAAGTAATATTACTTAAATCTATTGCAACTCTTTAATGGAGTTTCACAGAGAGGGGAGAAGAGGTGGGTTCATGCCTTTCCCTAGTGTATTTGCACATAAGTGAATATAACAAAACTAACAGGAATTGGAACTGTTCTCCAATTGACAATTCTGAGCTATTATCCACTACACTATTTAACCTATACCTGGTGGGGATGGGTATAGGATTTATGCCTTTCTTAAGGGCATGTGTGAAAATGAATGCATCAGACTAGATAATAACAGGTTGATATAAAAAGCAATATAAAAATTGGAACAATTTGCATTTATTGTTATAAATTCATTATTATAAGAAACTTTACAGTATAGGAAATAGGAAATTTATTAATTTGATATTATTTGCATATATATATCATTAATTGTTGTAAGCAACTTTACACTGTAAAATTTTAATACAAAATTTATTAATTAATTGTTATTAAAATATAGTAATTTGATATTTGCATATATTATTAATTATTGTAACTTACACTATAAAAATTTAATAGAAAATTTATTGATATTATTTGCATTTACCATTAATTTTTGTAAGCAACTTTACACTGTAAAATTTTGATAGAAAATTTATTATCATTATTATTATTATTAAATCAATATTATTTGCATATATTATTAATTAATTGTTGTAAGGCACACTATAAAAATGTAATAAAAAATTTAGTGAACTTATTTTATATTTGTTTTTATTCATTTTTAATTCATTTTAAATAAAATGTTTGGGACCAACTAACTTTGATAACTTTATCATTATCTGTTGAGAAAATGCTCCCAATCCTACAAACAAACAGAGACTGGTCAGGTTGAGGAAAAAAAAAATATTTACCTTGAGTTGCAAAATATATTGCCACTTTTCCATAATGTATAACCGTCTGATGACATGGAAGGTATATTTAATAATAAAAAATGTGATAAATGTTTTATGCAACTCCAGGGATCACATGGTAACCCTGTCACATGACCACTGTAACTATAAAGGGTTAGTACAGAAAATAACAAGCTTTTATTTAGTAAACATTTCATCAACACAAGGTAAGTACATTGCTCCTTTCCCACCTGACCAGCAGTGAATTTCTCCACATATCATCATAAATTTCATCATCTCATAAATATTATATATACCACCACACAATATTATATACAGTTACTCAGTTATCATATATTATTTCATACAATGTGACATAAATATATATATATCATTATTATTGATGTTGTCCTTATTATCATTTTTATATTTCCAGGTTTTCATGCTACTTTTCTACATTAGAAAAAGACACAGGCTGTGTAATTATTTAAAGATGTTTGGTGTGAATATCAGATTAATTGCAAATTAATAATTGTATATTTTCTTATATTTATAGCAAATAAATGTTCAGATAACCAGTTATTTCAACCTTTTATAATTGTCCTCTAATTTCAGCTTAAAAACGCAGCAGCTAATGTATTAAGAGAGACATGGCTTATCTATAAGTATACAAAACTTGTCAAAAAGGTGAATGCCAGCAGAGTACGAAGCCATCAAAGAAAATTCTTACAAGCCATCCACAGGTAAAATAAAAACAAATTTATCTTTTATAATTTCATATAAGGCTAAATTTTTTCTGTATGTTTCAATCTTACATCAATAGAACAAAGCAGCCAATATCAATAACACACAGACTTTTACATATATAAAAAAAAAAAAAAAAATTTTTTAAATATTTATGACAGATTTAAGTTAGGAATATCCGAACAGTGACGTTCCATATCACATGACGTCCGTCTCAAAAGGACGCTACTTGCTAACAAACCGTAATTTTAATTTATTTGTAACAAAGTTATTTCTGATGAAAAATTGAGGACAATTTGAAATATCAAATATATATATAAATAAATAAATACTTTCATAAAATAAAACATTTTAATTTTTAATTTGAAACTTTATATATATATATATATATATATATATATATATATATATATATATATAATGAGTAATGGGGTGCTTGGAAAGAGATATTTCCAGTCTGTATGTACTAGTATATCCAGGATATATTGATGACTTAACACAACTGAAAGAAGTCTGAAAGAAATTAAAACCAAATATGCATTGTGCACAAAGAAATTTTATATAGAGATATGTCATAAAAAGAAAGTATATACAAATACATATATATATATATATATTCACTTGAAGATGAAATGGAACTAATGCTTTTAATTTAATTATATAATCAAATTTAATGTTTTTAGCTTCCATTTTTGAAACATGGTTATTACTGTGTAGCAAAAAACCATATTTTAAATCAGTTAATTTATAATATTATATATATATATATATATATTGTCATCCACAGACAGACTGTTTCACTGTATAACAGCTCATCAGTGTGACTAGACATCTGATTTCCTCAAGCTAGGATCAAAACCTGACTGATTTGGCATCAATCAAAAATTTTGCCCCTGAGCTATCAGCACCTAGTTGAGAGGAAGGTGGATTTTTATGCACTTGTTCTTCGAATAAACATGAAAATGACTGAGAGGGCTCAATTCATAGAAGAGCTTTGCAGTATTAGCAATAGTAGTCATTGTTTATAAATTCACACTTTCTCTCAAGGTATCAAGAGATACCATCACTATTTTTTTAACACAAAGAAACTATAGCATATATGAATAAGACAACTAGTGTGAACAGGCAAAAATCAAGAGGGGCTTACTTGTAATATTTCCTAAAGGAAAAATGACCAGACTGATGGTGTCTTTTTTGTTCCCTGTTGCTTTCCACCCATTCTCCTAACTGTTTCAAGCAATCTTGTCTTGCTTCCTTGCAATCTACTCAGCAAATTGTGTTCATTATTCAACAAGTTGATGTCAGTCACTGGCTGTCATATGATTCTCATGAATTCATTCTGTCAACAGGGAAATAATAGTCCTTTGTATCCCTACATTACTAGCAAATTGTGTTTGCAACATAAAGTTACATTTAATTTGCATAATTTTTTTTTTTTAAATTGTCATATGCAAGCAATGTTTCAGTTGATAAATATCTTTTTTTAAATTTATTTGTTGTATAAAAGAATTTATATCTGTGTTGTCGAAATTCAGTCATAAGATTGCAGAAAAAATATCAGTGTGTTTACATTTAAAGGAAAACCTATAATAAATGTAACCTTGGCTTCTAAAAATATTCTTTTTTTTAAGAAGACATAAATAATTTTTTAAAATATAAAAAATTTTATGGAATTCTATAATTTTAAACTCAGCAGTGTTAGTTACAATCTTATTTTCTACAGCATTCGGAGTAACCATTGTTGTCATCTGACATTTCCCAGAATACATTTTGCACATTTATAAATCTACCATTCATCCATGCATTGACTATTACTGCCATATCTGATCTGGTGCTCCTGCTATATATTTCAAGATTCTCAACAAAATCCAATGAAGGATCTATAATGTTATCAGTCCTGACTTCAAATTCTCAAATTCAGTCACATTCTTACTGCTGTGATGTGGCTTCCCTCTGTCTTTTTTATTAATATTTTCATGGCAATTGTTCTAGTAAGCCCTCCTCCTTGGTATTTAGATTACATGAAGTATATTACTTGATTGGCAAATAGATCTCATTTTATTGTTGAAATAGCTAGATGTAACCATAAGTTCTATTCTAACAGTTCCTTTTCTCACACTTCTTGCCTGTGGAACTTATTTTCCGGTTTCTTGATTCCCTACCACTCTACAATCTTCAAAAACTTGCCATCTTCTATTTTCCTGAATCCTGTTCTTTTTATTGTCCTTTTTCCTCACTAAAGTTTACTCAATCTGTTTAACTCCCAGTAAGCCCTTGCATCTAATTGCTGCTTAAAATGTGATTTCACTTGTGTATAGAGGCAGATCTCATTGAGGTTTATGCTTTTGAAAGATAAGTCCTTGAAAATAAATACTGAAAAAATGAAAAATGGAAACCCAAATGTAAAGATGATATGGAAACTTAGTTGGAAATTTTTTAAAAGAAAAAATAAAATATGACCCTTTTTGAACATTTTTTATTTTCATTAACTTATATCTTAGGACGATACCATAATAATCATTTTCACCAAAAATATTCATTACTTGAAAGCAAGAAAATAGTAAATGTATTTCAGTTTTTCTTACATTCTTATTTCATATGATAGAATGTATTCCAGAATTAATTTTTTAAAAGGAATACTTGTTATCTTTAAAAAATCTTGATGATCAACAACAAAAAAAATTACAAAATATAAAATAGTTTATGAAAATGAAATACTGACTTTTATTATTTGCCACCATATTTACAAATAGAGAAACAATTCAGTCTAGAAGTGTCATTATCAGTTAACTCTAATACAAATACCACCACACTCTCTTACATTGACTTTTGATTTGTATTGACTGATACAAGTTACTCATGTTATAAAAATACATTTTTAATGCTTAGTAAATAAAATTTGTTAATTTTCTGGTGTAGTAAAGATGAAAGTAACTATTTTCCATAAAATTACCTTTATGTTACAATTACTTTTATTTTTAATAGATTTTTATTTGTTTACAATATCTGTTTATCAGCCACTGTGTTCTTTGCCAATTCAAGGGAAACTTTCACATTGTAGCTGTTTAATTCAAGTTTAATTCATTAAAAGAGTTGTTTTCTTTGCATGATGCAAATTTGGGTTCTTATGTTTGTTGTAAAAGTAAAATAAAATCATAAGAACTAACTTTTAAATTTTTGATAAATATTTTTCAACATGACATGATATTTTGAGACAATTTTTCTCTCTAGAATCTATCACACATATCTATAATTCTACCATTCATCCATGCTTAGAATATTGCTGACACATATAGGCACTGACAAGAGTTGATATTGCTTAACTTCAGTGATCATATGAGAACTGGTGTTTCAACATGATATGGCTGTAAGTTAGTTGAGCCTGGAATATGCACACATCAGAAAGAACTGACACCCATCCCAGAGGGAGGGGCTCAAACATCCCCATGAGAATATTTAGTGAAACCTTTGAGAGCTGCGCATACCTACTGGTTGATGGTAATAGACAAAGTCCAGAATTGAATAAAATGTATTATTACATATATGAGAGATTACACCTCTTGCTTTCATTAGTAATTATGCCAATAAGGTTAAAGTAAGTGGCAAGTTTTAAAACAAGAATCTTGAGCTAAAATGATAACTAAATAAAACTATTTTATTTCACTTAATAATTCTGAAATATTTTATTTTCAAAAGGATAAACAAAATCCAACAAATATATCATACTTATTATAAAACCTAGGTTGTGTGTGTGTGTGTGTCTGTTCGTTTATATATTGGATCAGATTTCCTACATTTTTCAACTGATTTCAACAAAACTTCACAGGACTATGTAAAATTACCTTGCGGTGGTTCTGACAGCACCAAAAATTGGAAAAACAATTGTTTTTGCATGAAATCAATTTGAAAACACGATTAAGAGGCATCGCTGTCAGGAGAATGAAAGGGGGACAATTCATATCGAGTTATACTTATTATAAAACCCAGGTTGTGTGTGTGTGTGTGTGTGTGTGTGTGTGTGTGTGTGTGTGTGTGTGTGTGTGTGTGTGTTATATATGGGATTGGATTTCCTATATTTTTCAAACGATTTCAACAAAACTTTACTTTTTTTTGGCAGGTAGTGTTTTTTATTGTCTTGCACACTTTTTTCTTTATTTTTACATTCAGAATGCTTTTAAAATTCCATTTACAAGGCAATTGTTTATAATAAAATTCTATTCAATTGGTAGAGACTCATAACGATTGAAAACAATGTTTTTGTTTGAGTTTGGGTTTGACCCATTCGTAAAAAAAAAATACTAATTAAGACATGCGTGTCCGTCAACCTTAAACAATAATCTTTGTCAATTTTATTTTTCAGTCTTTATGATGGTCGATACTTGATCTATCTCTTACTGTTACATCCCCTGGCAACGCTGGGCTCTACTGCTAGTCATTTATATATTATAATACTGAAGCTAAAAAAGGGACTTTTAAGAGTAAAAATATTAATGTAAATCAAAAGAGTCTTATTAAAGTAAACACAGATTCAAAATTTAATGTATTATTTTTTTTTTACAGAAGTATATTAGATTATATATTCTGAGTGCAGATAATCCATGATAAGTATATTACAATTGACACTGGACATAAATGCCAGATGGATTTGCACTCAATATTCTTGAAAAAAGTCTGGTGTATTAGAGGATTGGCCAAACAGATGATCTCCTAGCCACCAAATTAAGAGCCACAATCTAGCTCTGTATAGGGTGTGCATGTGTGTGAAAAAAATGACCTGACAGGCAGCTATATAAATGCCTACCTGAGAAGGAAGAGGATCTTCCCTTTCATCCACATGAGAATATATGGTCCACTTTTGGACATTGCTCTCGAACAGCACACACCCATGGGCTCGTGGTAATTGATGAAGTATAAATATAATGTAATATTACGTATGAAAGATTGATTCTAACATGACAGTAAAATGTGATATTATGTATGAAAGACTGATTTTCATATAACAGGCAGATATATAAACACCCACCTGGGAGGGAAGAGGACTGTCTTTTTTATCCCACATGAGAATGTATGGTTCAATTCCAGATCTGAGATAACTCATATCCATGAGTAAGCAGTAATTGACAAAGTATAAATAAAATGTACTATTACATATGAAAGATTGATTTTGATATAACAGGTAGATATATAAACACCCACCTGAGAGGGGAAACAGTCTCTTTCATCCACATGAGTATGTATACTCCACTTTTGAATATTGCCCTGAGACAACACACACCCATAAGCTGGTAGTAATTGACAAAGTATAAATAAAATTTAATTTTATTTATCGGAGATTGATTCTGACATGTCAGTAAAATGTAATATTACATATGAAAAAATGATTCTTGTTTTCATTTGTATTGTACATGGCTCTTCTGGCATTTTTATAAACTATTTCAAAAATAGATTCAATTCTGTTTTATTCTATCTGGACTTGTTTTTTATGCACTGAAGTCATTGATTCAACTAAAAATCCATCAGCATTTCATTAAAGTGATTGAAACTGATGCAAGAGAAATGATCTAAAAATAAGTAGAATATTTTTCTTTGTTATGACAAAGCAAAAAACCAAATGAATGTGTTTTGTTCTGCAACTTCTGATATCAAAATTAGTACCTCCTGTAAAAGCACTCATCTATATTATGTATAAAATCACTGTTGCAAGCTCATAAAAATAATACAACACAGGGAAACCAAGAATAAATGCCATTAAGATTTTATATAAAATGTTTATTTAAGCATCTGAAAATTTGATATTTATGGCTTTTCAAAATATAAAAAATGAGTCAAGGGTATATAAAAACGATGGAATAATAAATGAAAATGCTATATTCAATGGAAAGCAAGACGCAAATTTTAAAAATATAGCTAAAAGAATATCCCTCGAATTAGGGATGGTGCAAGGATCTTGTGCACCCACTGAATCTACAACCCCACTCCAAATCTATGACCCTCACCCCCAGTAGTAGAGGTGAGAGGCCCCATATCCTATATGATATGAGGCTTCTCCACTCTACTACATCTCAATTTTGGTGAAGTACTATTTATATAAAATACAAATTTTATTATAACCTAATTATGTACAATAATGGATCATATGCAATATAGATAATTCAACTAGAAAAAATGAAAATAAATACAATCTATCTAAATACAAATTAGAGCCATGTCATAATAGATCATTTCATCTTAAATAAATCAACAATGTTTTACAGCAATTTTTAACATCAACTTGAAATTTTTCTTGTTAAAAAATTGAATAATTTTAACACATTCAACATTATGGATAAAAAGTAGGGAATTTTATATAGCATATTTTTAAGACTTACCAGGAACAGAAAAAATTCATGGATTTGGTCAAAAAAAAAAAGAAAACAGAATGGCATCAAAATCTATAAAAACTTTCCATTCTTTAATACTTAGTTGTGCTTAAATGTGGATACGATAGTGAGAGTCACAAAGCACTGCTCAGGGTCCCATTCAGGCTTGGACCACCATCTGCTAGTCAGGGTTTTCAGGGTTTAGTACCCACAGACCTTGACTCAAATAAAATTTACAAAGCTGAAGTTACATGCTTATTCATAAATACAATACAAAATTCATTTTTAATATTCCTTGCTGAAAAGTGGGGGTTATATGCCCATTGATCATCAAATATACTCTTTTTTATACTATGGCTTCAAGAGAACAAACTCTGTAAGTCTTATCAAAGAACATCCATTTTTTAACCTCATTGACTGATGCTACAGAATCACAAAGAAGGAATTATGCCAAATAACAGAAACCACATCACTTGAGTAGTTTCCTGTTGCCTTCCCCACAGTTTGGAATTCAGTGTTTTCCCTCTCCTAGACTGGTTGCCAACAAAGGTTTGAAAGCCCAGTTTACTATTTAATGCATAGCCGGAGGGAGAAGTACTAAAAGTAATAAAATAAAGACAAGAATTGGGAAAAATATTGTGCCATTCTGTTGGAATAAATATCTGTAAATACTTGTCTAAATTTCCTATTAAATTCAAGTAGCCCATGTTAAGTTATAATCAACTCAAACCTAATTGAACAACATCACCATGGCCGGATTTAGAGGAAGAGAGGCTCTAGGCTATTCCATTTGTGAGGTCCCTCCAAATCCCCCATTCTCACAAGTAGAGGAAAATGGAAGAGTGTGAAACAATTTGAGTAAAGCTGAGGATGATGATGGATGTTTAAAATTACTGAAGGGTTATTTAGAGCTCCCAATGTGTTATGACAGCATGTGCAAGAAAGGCCTATGATAGTGTCAAAAACTTTATACACCTTGATTGGAGGCCCCCTAGACTTTGATGCCTTTAGCCTTCAACCTCCTAAGCCTATAGGTAAACCTGGCACTGAACATCATCTATGTAATGTTTTGAATTCATATTCCTGTACTTCATCAATAAACCGATTGGGAATAGATTCAATTAATTTAAAAATGCTTTCTTTGATAAGTTGAATCCATTGCTACGTCAGCTGCTAAAAAAGTTGGTTCACTGTGTTGTGTGAGACAATTTTTCTCTCCAGAATCTATCTTACATATCTATAAGTCTACCATTTGTCCATACATAAATTTTATTGTCACATATGGGCGGGCCACTGCTCCTGCTATTTACTTTGAGCTCCTTGATAAAATTTAAAGAAGAATCAGCAATATTATTAGTCCTGATCTGGCAGCTTGGTTTCAGTCACTTTCCCACTGCCATAAAGTTGTCTCTCTGTGCCTTTTCTATAAATAATTTCATGATAAATATTCAAATGACCTCTTCACTATGGTACCTAGAGTTTTTTTTTTTTAATTTAAGTGCAGTACTAGACTGATGTTGAGATATCATCAATTTACAGTTGCGCTGGCTAGATGTAACCATAAATTCTATGCTAACAGTTTATTTTCTTGCACTTTTCACATGTAGAATTCCTTCTGGGTCCATGCTTTCCAGCCAACTTTAATCTGGAAAAATTTAAATGCAATATCAATTGCTATCTATTGTCCTCCTGATTACATTTTTCTCTTTCTACTCATTAATAATGTTTCTGTTCCTACTTAATCTTCACCCAGTAACCCCCATGTGTCTTAGTGGCTTTTCTGCCTTGAATGGGGTGAAATAGATTAAAAAAGATGTATAATCAATATATTTGGTTTGAATTATTTTTTAAATGGAATATGCACTGGTATTTTCTCCAATAGTAAAGTGAATTCATTTTTATTTATATTTTGTCTTCATATGAACATATTTTTCCATTACTTGCTTTCAGCTTACGAAGAGTAAAAATGGACCAGAGGAAATTAAATGAAAATCAAAACACATTGGTGGATATGGCAAAGGTGAGATTTTTATTGTAATATTTACAGATACATACTAACTCCACTGACAAAATGTAAAATTCAAAAAAATGTATTGTATAATTTTACAGGCTGAAGGAATTATAATTAATGATTTGAAAATGAAAACTCTCATTAATTAGACATGTTAAAACGAACAAAGAAAATGAGACCTACTTCAAAAGTCAACAATATACACAAATTAGATCCCATTAAAGTAATTTATATTGATTAAATAGAGAATATTCTAAGGTATCAATACTGAAATAAATTTTATTGAATATTGGTAACAGCAGGAAAAACAAATAAGATTCTTACAAACAAATAAAAAGAGAACAGATTTTGTATATTCACTGAATGAATTGTTTCTATAAAATTAAGTGTTAGATAGAAATATATTCATGCTGGTGCTTCTAATTAAGTTAAAAAATATATAAATACAAAAAATGAAAAAATTATACTTAGCATAAAGAGGTAAATAGAAAAAGAAAAGAAAAAAGAAAAAATTATAATTAGTATAAAGAAGTAAATAGAAAAAGAAAAGAAAGTGAAAGAAAAAAGAAAAGATTATTATTAGTATAAAGAGGAAAATAGAAAAAGAAAGTGAAAGTGAAAGAAAAAAGAAAAAATTATGATTAGTATAAAGAGGTAAATAGAAAAAGAAAGTGAAAGAAAAAAAGAAAAAGTAATTAGTATAAAGAGGTAAATAGAAAAAGAAAAAAGAAAAAATTATAATTAGTATAAAGAGGTAAATAGAAAAAGAAAAAAGAAAAAATTATAATTAGTATAAAGAGGTAAATAGAAAAAGAAGAGAAAGTGAAAGAAAAAAAGAAAAAATTATAATTAGTATAAAAAGGTAAATAGAAAAAGAAAGTGAAAGAAAAAAAGAAAAAATTATAATTAGTATAACGAGGTAAATAGAAAAAGAAAAAAGTGAGAGAAAAAATGAAAAGCTTTTCCTTTTGTTTTTTCTCTCAGCCTTTTTTATTTTTCAATTTACCTCTTTATGCTAACTATAAACATTTTCTTTATTTTTTCTTGTTTAATTTTAATGTTTTTTGTTATTAATTTACACTTTGCCATTTTAAGTGACAAATAAAGAAAGCAAATATTCAAAGTAGAATATTAAAAATAAAGTTTACTACTTTAATTATATAAAGAAATATTCAGTAAACATCTGTTTCATACTAAAAATAAGTTTTGTCTAATATGAGTGATCTAAAATATTAATAGCTTCATCCTTTCATCTTTTAAAAGTTTATTCTTACTAACCTTGAAATCTGTTTCTGATTGCCATTTTAAACAAGACTGAATTTGTTTCTTAATCATCATACAGAGGCTGGAAACAAGTTGTGTCATGTGCGAGGAAAACATGTTTCATCAAATATGCGATAAGCAGACCCTCAGTTTTTCTTCAGTTGAGCATAGTCTTTCTTACTTCTTATTTTTGATGTTATTTATGGTTGAGAAGCCTAATTCACATAAATAAGAAGTAGAAAATTGCAATAAAATTGATAGAGCCTTTTTAGCTACTATGGGATAAAAAGTTTAATACTTATTCATTTATTCAAATACTAATACTGTACCATTATTACTTACGCACACAAACATATATATGTATGCTGTGACAATACTTTGCAGTACAGTGGTTGAGAATCAGTGCTATAGTATCTAAAATGCTATAATATACAAAAGAATACTACATGCTATAATATCCAAAAGGTTATAAGTATACAAAAGGATACTACATGCTATAATATCCAAAAGGCTATAAGTATACAAAAGGATACTACATGCTATAATATCCAAAATGCTATAATATACAAAAGAATACGACATGCTATAATATCCAAAAGGCTATAAGTATACAAAAGGATACTACATGCTATAATATCCAAAAGGTTATAAGTATACAAAAGGATACTACATGCTATAATATCCAAAAGGCTATAAGTATACAAAAGGATACTACATGCTATAATATCCAAAATGATATATGTATACAAAAAAGGATACTACATGCTATAATATCCAAAAGGCTATAAGTATACAAAAGGATACTACATGCTATAATATCCAAAATGCTATAAGTATACAAAAGGATGCTATATGCTATAAAGAAATACCCTGACTAGATTATCTTCATTCTCCCTCAATAATTCAGTATTTTTTTGGTCATCATAAAGTTAGAAATTGAAAGTGATTTTCTTAGGTCACAGTAGATAAAAGCATTGATTGAGTTAAACCAGTGACTTGACCCAAAGAGTTGTGAGTTCAATACCTGGCTACAGAAGAGGTGAACAAAAACTTGGAGAGTTAAGTTACTAAAGGGAGATAACTGAAACTGAGATATCCAGAAAAAGCATGAAATGTGGAACTAGAACAATCTACCTCAGAGGACAAAATAAATGAAATTCCAACATATATCACCTGAAGAAGGCCAGCACGTACAGCGGCAATAATATAATGAATATAACAATAAAGATGAGAACAACTGTCCAAACAATGTAAATAGTGTAAGTAGTTACAATACCTCATCTCAGAAATATAGACAAACATGCATATATGAAGTTGAAAATCTTCTTAAAAGTCTAAAAAATATGAAAAATGACACTGATTATTACCAATAGTCAAATACAACAGGTTAATTATGATAAGTATAGTCTTATAGATTTTTAGTAAGCTTAAGAATGAAATCTAGTCAATTAAAATAATAAGATTTATTCATATTCAAGTATAATATATACATAGCATATACATTCCCACAGATTAACAAAGTTTCCCAATTTCTCAATGAACTTAATCCAGTCACTTTCTAATATGTTTGTTGTCTAGTCAAGTTGATATCAATCATTATTTTATTGATTTTTAAATGAGTTTTTGTTTCAGGATTATCTAAAATGTCAAATATTATTTGATAATGAAACTTTTCTTTATTTATTCAATACTTCAGATAACTTTAAAAAAATCTTTTTCTACTATCAACTAAAACTACATACAATTTTAATTTTAATTAAAACTAAAATTACTTCATTATTCAAAAGTTAAGTCTCATTTATGGTGACATCAAAAATAAAATCTGGTATGAATATCTCTGAGAAATTGTAATTTCTTTATCCATGTCATTCCATTGAGGTTTATCTTGAGTGTCAACAGAGATAACTCTCTGCTTAGATTCATGTAACATTAATTGTTTATACATATTTATTAATCTTAAAAGTATTTAATTTTATCAGGTAAGTAAAAAATCTGAATACAACAACTGAAATAAATATCTTATGCATTGTATTTATTTTTTCAGATGTGCAATAATTGAATTATTAATTTAAAATTCATTTTTAAAATAAAAAAGAATTGAAGTAAATTTATACTACACACATCTGTACAGGATACAAATTGTGCCTTCTCTTACACCCAAAAATTATCTGTACAATTTCCACATTTTTATCATATCCATTGGACTTAAGATTCATCAATAGACTTCTTGGCATATTAAAGAAATATTATTAAAGTTTTAATTTATATATAGTTTCTTCTTTTTTTAATTCACTTTTGCTTGTCTTTTCAGGTAGATGTTAAAAGTGCTTCTTATTGATTCCTAATTTGCAGTGTTGTCATTTTCAATATCAGTTAATGATCAATAATATGCACATAAGATCTATCCTAAAAGAGAAACAGAAGTGAATTAAAAAAGAACAAACTTTTTGTTTTACAATAATGTTCCCACTGTACAAGGGCCCAAGAGCCACTCAAGGTAGAGTGTTACTAAGAGGCACAGTTTATGAAGATATTTGGGGAAGATAAGAGTTAACCCTAGATATAAACAGGTTAAGATAGTAGTGGTCAGAGAAGCATCCTCTTGGGAGTTGGTCCTGCATTGTAGGAAGAAGCTGCTCAATTGGAACTTACATCTCACTAGTGGAATATGAAGGGAATAAATGTGGTTGATTACAATGTGCATGGCATGGTGGGTCTTAGCTGTGGAGGTTAGAACTGGTGAAATTAAGGAACGTAGTTCATCTGAACACTTTTCATAGCGATAGAATAGCAAGAGGCATGCAACGTTTCATTTCTGGGAAAGGGGTATAAGATGGAAAGCAATTCATCACCTTCAAGGACCTGTAGACGTTTTTGAACACTATTGAGACTGGAAAGTGAAAACTGGGCACCTCCTACCCATATATGGCATCAATATTAAAGCTTTAATAATATTTCTTTAACATACGAAGAAGCTTATTGATGGATCTTAACTCTAATGGATACAATAAACTGTGAAAGTTGGACAGATAATTTAAGGGTGTAAGAGAAATTGCAATTTGTATCTTGGACAGAGTATACAGATGATTTATGGACAACATGAATCATAAAAATGAAAATTCCCAATATTGGAAATGCATATAGAATATAGAATATACTGATTCTTGATAGGTGGCAGAGAATATTCAAAATATTCTTCAATTCACTTTTCATTGTCTTATTTTCATATTAACACACCTTATATTAATAATTTCAAATGTTCTTTATTTTTATACAGTCATTTGCTTACTCTCAGAAGTGCAAAATTGAAAAATCTTGAATGACTTGAAATTATTCAGTTTTGCTTGTATTTCAACAATTTAAAATTGTATAAAAATCATCAACTATAGTAAATGCATTTTACACATTTTAAGATTTTAGACAATTAAGAGACATCCATAAATCTACAAAAAGATGAAAGCTATTTTTATTCCCACATTCAATTATAAATGATAATTAGTTTTTCATCAAATTAAACAAAACAGTTTTATATATTTCTATTGAGTAAAACTTATATTTGTCAGATAAACATGTGCTGTAGTTGAAGTCGTCAGCAATTTGGAAGTGAAAGAGCAATTTAATATAATTTGTAGTGGAAGTGATGGTGATGGAAGATGAAGGTTATAGGGTAAATAAGCACTGTATTTTTAACTGAGACCACATGACAACAACTTGACAAAAATTCACATGTAGGTCAAGTAATTAAG